ACACACACGCACACACACACACGCACACACACACACACACACACACACACACACACACACACACACACACACACACACACACACACACACACACACACACACACACACAAATGCCACCTCGTCTGTCTTTGCAATTTCGGCCGAGCCGTGCGGGATCTTGTCTGTGTCCCAGTGTCCGCCGTGCTGCCACAGGTGCCGCTGCGCCGTAAGTCGTGCATCGTCTCGCTGGAGAAAGAACGCGTGGAAGCGCGCAAGCTGATCCAGAGCAGCACACGCACGCGAGAAGTCCTGGTTGGGTGGGGAGGGACGTGCAAAGTGGGGGCAATCCGGGGCGAGCGGTGGTGGTGGTGGTGGTGGTGGTGGTGGTGGTGGTGGTGTTGTTGTTGTTGTTGTTGTTGTTGTTGTTGTTGTTGTTGTGGTGGTGGTGGTGGGTGTTGGAGTGAGGAAGAGATCAGAGAACACACTGGACATACATGACATACAAGCAAGTGAGTGAAACATGTAAGCACACGCTCACTCACTCACTCACACACACACGTACACACCAGGAAGGAAAACTGCTCAAAGTTTTCGAGGCTCTCGACGATGGTGAGGAAGCGACAAGCGGTAGGATCGTCGCTGTGAACGTCTGTGAACGTGTAGTACGGTGACGCAACATGCACGCCGCCCTCGTCATGAAGCAGCGCACTCAGCTCCCGCACGAAGCTGAAGGTGGCGACCGCGGTCCAGCAGGGGAAAGTTGGAGCATGTGTGAGCACACCTAAGTCGCGTGATGCACAAGCAAGTACACACACATACGCACTTGTAGAGCGCGTAATACATGAACACGAGCACAACCCCACGCATCAAAGCTCATACACCACCAGCACATACTTATACGCACACGCAAACACACACATGCACACCCCGCTCACTTTGCTTCGTTTGCGTAGGACTTGACGTCACGTGCGAGCTTTTCAGGGGCACGTGCACTGAGGTCCCTAGCAACACAGCGCTTCAACAGCAACACACGGACGAGGGAGGACTCGTCAACGGACTTGAGGTCCGCCGCTCGGTAGCGCAGGTGCAGCTTCACAACGTGACTGTGACGTGAGCGGACGGCACTTTCTTCCGGGGCGTCAAATGACGCAATCAGTTCCGCATGGGGCACGCGCACATTTGCACGCAGCCACGCAACTGGTTGTTGTTGTTGTTGTTGTTGTTGTTGTTGTTGTTGTTGTTGTTGTTGTTGTTGTTGTTGTTGTTGTTGTTGTTGTTGTTGTTGTTGTTGTTGTTGTTGTTGTTGTTGTTGTTGTTGTTGTTGTTGTTGTTGTTGTTGTTGTTGTTGTTGTTGTTGTTGTGTATGTGTTAAAGTGTATGAGCGACAAGACAGGCGAAAGACGAGAATGCGAGTGTGAGAGAGAGAAGGCAGGGGACACACACACACACGCACACACACACACACACGCACGCATACATACACGCATGCACGCACGCACACACACACACGCATGCACGCACGCACACACACGTACACACACACAGCCTATTCATAGAAAACAACTGCAGACGGCATCGTCATGAGCCCACCGTCAATCGGCTTGCCGTCAGGGTCACGCGTGATGTCGGCGGTGGTGGTGCAGTGCGACACGGCCTCCTGTGCGCGGGCGGCGTGCGGTGCGTGCAGTGCTGCTATGATGCCGTTTTGGTTCACGAGGTGCTCGTGGGCGGCGGGCACGTACCGATACGCTGCCCCGTTCACATCTGCCAACACACACAGGGTGTAAGTTTATGTATGATTGTGCGTGCGTGTGATTGTGTGTGATTGTGTGTGTTTGTGTAATTGTGTGTGTGTGTGTGTGTGCGTGTATCACTGCATACAACCTCGCCCGTTCGCCACGGACGTAATGTGGAGAATCAGACAAGCAACACAACAAAGTTCCACCACCTCAACACATACACAAACAAACAAGCACCTGTGAGTGTGCCGCCGAAAGCGCGGATGAGGGCCTCTCCTGCGCATGTGTCCCAGCGCTTTGTGCCGGCGGTGTTGTTGACGTAGCAGTCGGCCTGCCCTTGCAGCACAAGCATGATCTTGTTGCCCGTCCCGCCAACCCTACCGCCGCATGTCACACGACGTCGAATATGGTTGTGTGTGTGTGAATGAATGAGTGCGAATGAGTGAGTTATGTGAGTAAGTGGGTGAGTGAGTGAGTGTGTGTGTGTGTGTGTGAGTGCATGTGTGTGAATGAATGTGTGAGTGAATGGGTGTAATGTAATGCAACGGTTGCACAGTTGTCGCGTCAAGCCGTTTGTACACGCACGTCCACACACACACAAACACATACACATACACATACACACACGCACGCACACTCCCACCACCAACCCCCTGCTTACGCAATCACGTCGTCCGGGCCAATGACGTCAATCGCCGTCTGCAGCGCCGCATTTCGCCGCGAGCCCGTCACCGTCAGACGCAGACCAGCATGCACCTGGCATGGGCAGTAGGCGTGTGAGTGAGAGTGAGAGAGAGAGAGAGAGAGAGAGAGA